TTTTAGAAGGTCCCAATCATCTGGCTTCTCTTCTGCTGTTTGTGCATTTTGTGTTATGCTTGATAGTCTATTTATGCCATATATTAGGGCCCCTTAACTTGCCCCTTGTTTTTCCTTGAGGAACTCTATAGTCTTAGGTTTCAAGACATGCCATTTTTTTCAATCTAGAATTATATTAAGGACTTGCTATTTTGTATTACTGCTTTATTAAGAAAAAGTTAGACCTTGTATACTTAACTACAGAAATCAGAATAGGATTTTTTTTTAGAACATGTTTCCCCTGTGGAAAGATTTATTGTCAGTAGTTGCGGTTCAGGCATGGATCTATGAACAACTTTCACATTTGCTAAGAGGTAAGAAACTAGAGTTGTTTTCATTCTGGCAGTATTTAAAAATGTTGACTCTTTGCATCCACATGACTCCTTCAGACTTTATAACAATAATTTTCAGGGGTTTATCCACTTTCCATGGCTTCAGAAAGTCTGGATGAATTGCATGAGAATTTTAAATTCTATTTTGCGTTTCCCCCCTTTAGATCAGAATTCTTCTGTAGAATATTTGATCAAAATGTTCGGTTGTGGTAGCTGAGCACCAGTTCTTCTGGTCTCATGGCACATGAGAAAGTTGTTCATGGAGGCAGTAAGCCACACAATACATACTCTCTTCCTATTCTTGCCTTTCCTTCTTTTCTCTGTTGCTTTAGGCTCATTTCTCCCTTTTTTAAAGTTTTGTTTTAAGATTATTAAACAGTTGTACATATAAAACATTAACTGTTCGTAAGCACAGCCCTTTGGATTTTCAGCAAATTTGATTTAGGACTATTGGCTAGTAGTCAAAACTGAATTGAAATGAGTATACTTGCCCATTTGACTTCTGTCTCACATTTAAAAAAATATGAAATTACTATATTTAGATTAGGCAGACAACCTGAATCTTACTGATGCGATTGAGACAAGATCCTGAAAAATTAAAATTTGAATTTGTAAGAACAAGTTTCTAAAATACTAAGATTTCCATTGTGATGATTGTAATTAAAATAAGCAGCTTTTCATTGTTGAAAATTTCCAGCTGTTTGAGATGTATTATTATTAATATCAAGACTTCAGTATTTGTCTTTCTTTTGAAACATAATCATATTCCATTATCACATCTAAAATAATAATTCCTTAATGTCATTATCCAGCTCCGATCAAATTTCCCTCCTGTTTGTTTCATTGTTTGTTTGTTGTTTATTAAATTGGTTTGTTCGAGTAAGGAGCCATATAAGATCCACACATTGTATTTGATTTATTAAGTCAGCCATTTATTTGTTGTGGAAACCAAATAGTTTGGCCTGTAGAATATCCTGTGATCTAGATTTGGCAGACTACTTCTTGCAGTTGTCCATTAACTTCTTTCTATACCTTGTATTTTCTGTAAAATGATAGATTTGATTTGATTTGAGGTGGTGGTTTTTGGTAGGTGCTATTGAGTTGGCTCCAATGCGCAGCGATCCTTTATATAACACAACAAAACACTGCCTGGTCCTGTGCCAGCTTCACAGTCCTTGCTATACCTGAGCCCATAGTTGTAGCCACTGTGTCTGTCCATCTCATTGAGGGCTCTTTTTGCTGACCCTTCACTTTACCAAGCATGATAACCTTCTCCAGGGAAAGGTCTTTTCTGACAGTATGAACAAAGTAAGTGAGATGAAGTCTGGCCATTCTTGCTTCTGAGGAAAATTGAGGCTGTGCTACTTCCAGGGCAGGTTTGTTTGTTCTTCTGGCAGTCTGTGGTACTTTCAGTATTCTTAGAAACACCACCACAACTCAGAAGTATCTGCTTTTCTTTGTTCTTCCTTACGCATGTCCAGCTTTCACACGCATATGAGGCGATTGTAAACACCATAGCTTGGGATTAGGTACACCTTAGTCTTTAAAGAGACATCTTTGCTCTTCAGCACTCCACAGAGATCTTTTGCAGCAGATTGGCCCAGTTCAGTGTGTCATCTGATTTCTTGGTTGTGGCTTCCATTGGTGTTGATTGTGGAACCAAGTAATAGGAAATCTTTGACCACTTTAGTCTTTTCTCCATTTCTCGTGATGCTGCTTATTGGTGGGTCCAGTTGTGAGAATTTTAGTTTCCTTTTTGTTGAGGTGTAATCCATGGTACAGACTGTAGTGTTTAATCTTCATCAGTAAGTGGTTCAAGTCATTTTTGCTTTCAGGAAGCAAAGTTGTGTCGTCTGCATATTGCAGGTTGTTAATGAGTCTCCCTCAAATCCTGATTCTGTGTTCTTCATATAGCCCAGCTTCTCGGATTAGTTGCTCAACGTGCCGATTGAATAAGTTACATGAAGGGATACAACCCTGACACACACCTTTCCTGATTTTAGACCATGCACTCTTCCCTAGTTGTGTTTGAACAACAACCTCCTGGTCTATGTACAGGTTCCTCATGAGCACAATTAAGTGTTTGGGAATTCCCATTCTTCTCAGTGTTCTCCATAATTTGTTATGATCCACACAGTCAGATGCTTTTGCATAGTGAGTAAACCACAAGTAAACATCTTTTTGGTATTGTTTGCTTTGAGCCAAGATCCATCTGACATCAGCAGTGATATCCCTCATTCCATGTCCTTTTCTGAATCCAGCTTGCATTTCTGGCTGTTCCCTGTCAGTATACTGCTGCAACCATTTTTGAGTTATCTTCAGCAAGATTTTACTTGCGTGTGGTATTAATGATACTGTTGGATAATTTCCACATTCTGTGGAATCACCTTTCTTTGGAATGAGTACAAATATGGATCTCTTCAAGTTAGTTGACCAGGTAGCTGTCTTCTAAATTTATTGTCATGAGTAAGTGCCTCCAGTGAGGCATCCATTTGTTGAAACATCTCAGTGGGTATTCCGGCGTGCCTGGAGCCTTATTTTCCTCCATTTTCTTCAGTGTAGCTTCTGTTTCTTCCTTCAGTACTGTTGGTTCTTGATCATATGCTATCTCCTGGGATGGGTGAACATCAGCCTTTTTTTTTGCACAGTGATTCTGTGTATTCCTTCCATATTGTTTTGATGTTTACTGCATCATTCGATATTTTGCCCTTTGGTTTTCTAACTCTAGTTCTTTGCACATTTCATTATTATTGCCTTTTTCTTCTTGAGTTGCTCTTTGACATCTTCTGTTCAGCTCTTTCATCTTGTCATTTCTTCCGTTTGCTTTAGCTACTTTCTGTTCAAGAACAAGTTTCTGTCTCTTACGTCCATTTTGGTCTTTTTTTCCTTTCTTGGCTTTTTAACGACCTTTTGCTTTGTGCATGGATGATTTTCTTGATGTCATCTCACGGTTTGTTGGTTTTCGGTCATTGGTATTCAGTGCATCAAAACTGTTCCTTAGATGGTCTCTAAATTCTGGTGATATATAATCAGGTTCATATTTTGGCTCTTCTGAGCTTACTTTAATTGTCTTCAGCTTCAACTTGGACTTGCACGTGAGCAGTTGATGGTCTTTTCCACACTCAGCTCCAAAGATATTGAGCTGCTCCATCGCCTGTTTCCACAGATGCAGTCAGTCTGATTCTGTGAGGCAAAGTCTACATGTGCAGCCACCATCTATGTTGTTTGAAATAAGGTATTTGCAATGAGTAAGTTAGTTGTTGGTCATGCGATGTCCAGTGTCATTTCTATCATTGAACCCATATTTTATAACTACCAATGATTCTTCTTTGTTTCCAGCTTTTGCATTCCAGTCGCCAGTGATACTTAACACGTCTTGATTGCATGTTTGGTCAATTTCAGACTGCAGAAGAAGTTGGTAAAAATCTTAAATTTCCTCGTGTATGGCTTTGGTGGCTGGTGTTTAAATTTGAAATTGTAGTATTAACTGGTCTTACACATAGGTGTGTCGATATCATCCTATCACTGATAGCATTGTACTTGAGGATGGATTTTGAAGCATCCTTTGTCATGATGAATGCCATGCCATTCCTTCAATTTGTCATTTCCAGCATAGTAGATCATGTGGTGGTCTGATTCATAATGGCCAAATCCATTCACTGATCACTAGAATTTCTATCTTTATGTGTTCCATTTTCTTTCTGACTACTTTTGATTTTCCTAGGTACAGAGTTTGTTCATTCCGTGTTTCAATTATTAATAATGTTTGGAGCTGTTTCTTCTATTTTGAGTTGTACCACATCAGCAAATGGAGGTCCCAAAAGCTTTACTCCATCCACCTTCTTAGTGGGGACTCTAATTTGAGGAGGCACCTCTTCTCCAGCCGTATTTTAAGTGCCTTCTGACCTGAGGGGCTCATCTTCCCGCACTATATAGGACAGTGTTTCAGGGCTATTCATAAAGTTTACCAGTAATCAGACAGTGTTTCACTGCTATTTATAAGGTTTCCACTGACTAATTTTTTGAGAAGTGGATGGCCCCCTTCCTTCTTCCAAGTCTGTCTTAGTCTGGAAGCTCCCCTGAAACCAGTCCGTTATGGGTGACCCTGCTTGTATTTGAAATACTGGTGGCATAGCGTTTAGCCTCACAGCAACGCAGAAGCAAACACAGTACAACAAACTTATTTTAGATAGGGGTAAAAATATATCATGGATGGTGCTGTATACATGGATTTCATCACATACATTGTTTCTTTTTGGTAAGATCCTTGTAAGTTTCCAAAGTATTCTTTAAGTGTAGTTTAATTAAAATTAACCAGTTTCAAGGGTACAGTTTGATGAGTTTTGACAAATGTGTACCATTATATGTAACCCATTTCCATGATCAAAGTAATAGAACATTTCCATTACTCTAAATGTTCATTTTTGCCTCCTGCAGTCTTTCCTTTTCCCTTGCTTACTCCTCACCCCCCAGCGACCACCAGTCTGCTTTCTATCAGTATAATTTTGCCTTTTTAAGAATTCCATTATAAGTGGGATTTTATAGTTGTAATAATATTGTAATAAAAAAGTAGAATATAAGTTTAGCCAAGAGCTACAGGCCTAATTTCCTACCATTTTTATGTGACAGGGACTTGCCATGAGGTGTTGAAGCCTTGTTTCACTGAGTTGGAGAGACTGGACCTAAATGGCGCAGCATGACTTTGCTCCAGCCTGGCTTAATTTTCCTACTCCACCATCATCAACAAAGGTACTCTTACTGTGCATCTTTCGTTTCAACATTCTGTCTTCCATCCCTTGTATTCATGTTTTATAAAAGTGTAATTAATATGTTAAGTTTCAATATTTTTGCAGAAAATGATTTTTATAGTGAGCATCTAAATTATTTCATACATAATTTCCTGATTTGTTTCTCGTACCCAGGCGTCAGTAGTATCATCATCCCTATATTAAACCATGTACCTCAAAATTTTCTTTTGTAGACAGCATTCCACATATTTTGTGCCTGTTAGATACATTGAATATTTTGCATGTTACCTTTTTCTATACTATTCTTCTGATAACTTGCTTTACTTTTTTCAGATCTATAATATGTGCAAAAACGCCAAGGAG